AAAGTGCAAACTTTATGGTTTTTTGCCCTTTTTTTTATATATATTAGTTGCATAATAATAAGAGATAATCATCTTTCATTCCTTATCTCATCTCATTCATATGCCATGTGATTCAAATTTAAGTTTTTTTATTTTTAGTGAAAAAAGATGAAGAGTAAAGTAGTTAAGTTGACGGTATATTGACATTAAAATTATTAAATATGTCATTAATAAAATTAAAAATCTTTTTTTAGTCATAAATATATTAAATTATAAAATAATGACAAAGATGTAACTTCTATTTAATAAGTAGAATTGAGCTCTACAATATATTTTTTTTAATAAATTAATATAGAGGTGTAGGCTAGGTGTAAAAATACTTTTTCAGACAGAAAAATAACATTTTTAAACAGAAAATCTAAGGAAGATGCAATGTAAGAAATACTATGACCAAGGTCAAATTGTCAGCATAAAGACAAGATCCATTATTTCTCCTGCCTCTCTCTACCCATTTAGGTCATCGATTCCTCAGAAGAACTTCGTGTTAGTTTGAGTTATGATTTCACGGATTTTGAAGATTATTTTTTGGTAACTTGTTCACGGGTATTGACCCCTGCAACGCCTTAATCATCTCTTTGTTTCCAGAGAAACAGTGATGAGAAGTGAAAGTCTAACCTTTTTCTTTTTTCTTTTGTTAATTCATTGCACAGGGCTTGTTTAATTCGATATTTTCCTTGCTTTTCTTCTGCTTTCTGGGCATCCAAACAGGAGTTGATCGGTATGTCATATAATTCTTGGTTCTTCATTTTTGTTTTTGACTTGGATTGTTGACTTAAGTTGATTCTGCAATCTGGGTTATTGTCGATGAGGGATTGTAAATCTATTCAGGTGTGATGTTGGGTTTTTTTTTTTTTTTTTTTTTTTTGGGGGAAAGACTCAAGCTTTAGTATTTTTCCTTTTGCAATTTTGATCTTATCGACTTCAATCGAGCAAAATCTGTTGTGTTTCTGCTGATTGTTTGTGATTTTTATTTTGAATGACAGATCGTAGTTGCCTGAGTTGGGCTTTGTTCGTCTCGGTGGACAGGCAAGAGGGTTTCATTCTTGACCTTGAATGACATGTTGGATTGTTTTTTCTTGGAGGTTTCATCTGTGCTGAGGAATTAATTTGGTTATTGTTTCCTTGGTTAAGGCCTCGGTTGTTTTCATCCAAATCATGATTGATTAAATTTGTTAGAATCTCAAATTTGATATTAGGTCTTTATCCCCTAAAATGGTATAGCCTGATAGATGGTGAAGCAAGTAGGCATTGAGGACTCAGTGTTTAGGTGGTTCTGAACTCTGATACTTTGTTTCTTGGTTGGTTTTGTGGAATACTTGGACCGTTCAATGGGTTCGATCCAGGACACTGTTCATTACTGTTGTGTGTCAAGGGGTGGCCGGATTCTGTATGCATACAGTAGAGGAGATCATGAGATTGAAGCTCTTGCTGCCTTGTGCTTGGAGAGGACTCCTCCATTCCATAAATGGTACTTTGAGACTATAGGTAGAAAAACTTTTGGGTTTTTGATAGAAGATGGATGTGTTTACTTCACTATTGTTGGCAAAGGTCTTGCAAATCTCAATGTACTTCAATTTTTAGAACATGTGAGAGATGAATTCAAGAAGGTAGGTAAAAGGGGTTTCAGAGGAAGCTTTTCAAATATGAATTTATCTACCGTACAAGAACAATTGATGCCTGTTATCCGCAACTTGATAACTTCATTAGAACATGTCTCTCAAAGTGATAGTGATTGGAAGGCCAAGACTCCCTCGTTAGATCATCTAGGCCTCTCTCCCTCACCAAGTGATGTAAATGCTCAAATTGATGCTGCTAGTTCTACAATGGTCCCTTTGCTTGGTAAACCAAGCAAGCAGGAGAAGAAGAAGCAGAAAGACCATTCAATTGCAGTGAGAGATATTGAGTTGGAAGAACATCGGAAATCAACAGAAAGAGGAGTTAGAGCGGATTTAGGACCACTGGATTCTATTAACCATAATGAAGCAGGTTCTTCAATCTCATTGGACAAGGATTTTGGTTCAACAAGGGTTAGATCTGGCCCTCAAAACATTCGAAAGAAGTGGTGGCGCCAAGTAAGGATAGTTCTTGCCATTGATGCAGCTGTTTGTTTAGTGTTGTTTGCTATTTGGTTGTCAGTATGTAGGGGCCTTACATGCCTAAGCTGATCACTTCTAATAAAATCCAAATTTCCATTTTCTTAATTTTGAGGAGTGTATGTCAAAATCATGTTAAGGTCTCAGAAAAGAGAAATGCGAGAGCAAGAAATCAACCTTGTTAGTTGGTATAAAAAAATCCATCTTAAGTTATGTGCTTTATTGCACACTCAGTAGCGTGACTATGGGAACTTTTCTGTACAGTTGCATATCTTTAATATTATCATATGGACGCTATTGAAATTCTTGAGATTCTTGATTATTAGTGATCTTACACAATTTATATGTCTGTGATATTCAATATTCATGCTTACAAGTACATATTTTCTGTCAAAATCTTAGTCTACATTATTTCATTTTGTACACAGTTATTACATGCATTTATATAATGTTGTGTTGAAGCTTTTTAGATACATTATGGAATGTTCTCTGAATTTCTTAACCATTGTTCTTTCTCCATGCCTTTGTATGAAGACAGTGAAGCCATATGGTAATGACCCAATTTTATTCAACTAAGTTTTTCTAGTTTCTTAATTGGTTTCCCATAGAAATGACGAAGTACATGTTTAAGTCATATATTATCAATTGTGAAAGGAGTGGATGGTTAATTTTACTGAGGTTTAGGTATGTATTCTGTGACTGAAGAATAACCCAAGCAACTCGGTCCATCTTAAGGGCACCAAAGTTGGTGAGAGGTTATCTTAGTTATTGATATGGGGTCACACTACTTTGAGGTTTAGATAATTTATTGAGAAAGGCTTGTGTAGGGAGATTTGAGGGTAAATAGTTGGGAGAAAGGAGATAAACAATAGTAACAATGGCTATAGAATTAGGGAGTTATGCTTTTAGCAGGCCAAAAAAAAAAACTATAGGACATCAAATTCAGTTTAGTCAGACTCTAATTTTGTGTATTTAATCTCATATCCCATATGTAAATATCAGTGTTTTCTTATTTTTTCCCTTGCAATCAGTCCCTTGACAACTTCGTTGGGAAAGGTTTACTGAAGTAGCAGTGCCTGGAAGGCTGGGACTTCCAGATCAGATTCATTCAAAAACCTCCATCCCCATGTAACAACTGCAGTATGAATTGCAGCCAGTCAGCTACCGTGACAAATTCACTTTTGATGGGGCTAAGCAAAGCATCATTGCCGTAACAGATTGAAAGAGCTTGGGAATTGAAGTCAAGGTCAATGAAAGAAACTTTGGATTTGGGTTTGATGATGAGGAAATACATCTGCCTGACACATTTCTTCGGTAGTGGCGCTAAGTTTGTACTTTTCTTGCCACTAATGCAGCTTTTTTGTTTAATATTGTTGATTGGAAGGAGGATTGATGGACCGCACTATTGATTACATTAAAACAAAAACATGCTGACAAACCCCTCCCTCCCCTAACCTGCAAATGGAGAGAGATAATTCAGACAAATCCTGGCCCATGATTCAAACAATGGACACAAAAACAAGTATTTTCTATTAGATCCATGAAACTAGAGTTAAATTCAGCTTCAATAACACTATAAACACCAACAAGAAGCAAGGTTCCAAGAGAAGGGAAGACTTAGAAAGTTACTCTATAAGTTGGCTCGAAATCCATTTTCCTTCAAGAGTGGAGAACTGGAGATCACATGCGGATAGGTGCCTCACCTATGTAGGATTGAACTTCATTCTTCTTACCCAAGTATATACTTTTAAACAATAGCAGCTTCAAAGGGACAAAATTTTCTCTAACTCAAACTTTTAAAACCATGAGTCAAAAATTCTATTCCAAACTTGTACAAGACAAAATAACATAATTTGAAGGGGCAAAATTAGGTCACTAAAATGTTTAGAGAGAAGCCAGTGAACCTCTCCAAAAATTTTAATAGGAAAAAAAAAGGAGTTAATTTTGATATTGTTGTTTTATCCATTAACCCCCTCTCCCCCACCACCCCTCCCAAATCACCACGAAGAAAATGTTGATTTATTGATGTCAACATACTAGGTTGGCAGATGATATGAGGTAGGCCACAGCTTGCATTGCTCTTCTCACTCTTTCTTCGATAATGCAGCATATTTGCTAACCTGAAAAAACACATTCAACATTACCATCTTAATGACTTTAAAGCTAAGGTGTCCAAGCACATGAAAGACAGCTTGAAATGATTTTTCTAAGTAAAATACCAAAATGGGAGGAACAAATGCTTAAATTCTTAGAGATATCCAAGTTCACAAGAACTAGCAGGCACACAAAACATGAAAATCTACATGGAAGAATATATTTTAAGCAACCTGCTATGCTCTCAGCTTCCTTGCGTCACTCAGTTAATTACACTTCAAGGCAAAAGGAGAAGGTATTAGGAAATAATGTTAAAAGATTAAAAGGATGACCCCCTTTTGTAATAAATGAACTCAACCGGTTTGAATTGATCAGCTATTGGACATCCTGTGGGATGCTGCTGTTGGACTCAGTTTCATTTTCACAAGCTAAACATAATATCAGAGACAACTGAGTTTTTCCTGTTAAATGGGCTAACCGTAAGATTCAGATACATAGTTATCCATGAAAACCATCATAAAATAAGCACACACCTTCAAAGCACTTCTTTTGAATCCGTCAGGTGGCAAATATTTTCCGATGGCGCTATCTGATGCAACCGCCTGTCATTCAAATTAAACAGTGTTCATCAACTTATATATGATGTTAAAGACTAATATTTCACATTTGGAATATTCAAAAACACAATTCTTATCTATATAGCTTTTGATGACAACTTTACTAACATAAATTTCAAAGTGGAGGCAGAGAAAATGTTATTAATTTCCTAAAAATGAAATGAAGAGATAAAATTAAATATGAAACATGAAAAATAAAAACTTGTAAAAATAAAAGAAAAAACCAATCTTACAGGACTATTGGCAAGCTTTGGCTCAATGACTGCGGCATACACATTGACTACATCCATTGAAGAAGGAAAAGAAGATCAGAAAAATAAGAAAAATGATAAATTTGCAAAATCTAAAAGATATCAATACTGTCACTACAAATTTGTGGGGGTTTGATTTACAGACCAGTCTTTTGTTGTTCAGGGGGAACTTGTGGCTTGTCTGGAAAGTGTATTATTTCCCATGTTTCCATCACAACTTTCTTCACAATTAGAATTTCTTTTCTTTGAATTGTAACTCCAAAGTCATTAAATTATGTGCGAGACCGAAACAAAATTTGTTAATACATTTTATCCATCTCAGGATTTAGAGTATTAAGGTAAACTGAATAGGTTAAGAACTAATCAGCTCTGTCTTGAACGGGAACTTTTGCCCAAATCTTAACTGCTGGAGTTTGGAGTTGTTCTAATGGCGGCTCCACTGTTGTCTGTTTGAGACGGTGAAGGAAAGGCACAAGCTAGAAGAGAGGAAGCGACAACATTTTCCTGAAATTGATTTGGGAATGAGAATATATAGCCATATTAGGCCCTCTACGGCTCTACCCCCCTCCCCCCCCCCCCCTTTTTTTTTTCGCTTTTCACCTTTAAACTAGTCTTACAGGAATTAAAGCCCTTCAAATAAAGTCATTCTTTCATGATTCTATGTAGTATTTTTTTTTCTAACCATAATGTTAAATTTGATTAGATAGCATCTCTTGGGTGTTTGTTGTTGTTATTATTGTTAGAGTTGAAACATCTGAATCATTTGACATTGAAGTCTCAAATTTGATTAGATAGAATTTCTTTGCTGTTTGTTGATAGTGTTGTTATTGTTAGAGTTCAAACATTTGAGTCATTTGATATTGAAATTTTTTATATGAATGATATATTTGACCGTAAGATGACCTTAATTTTGAGCTATTATTGTGGCTATATTTCCAATGATAAAAAAAGTTTATTCCTCAAATTTCACAATCCCACAATAATAATAATAATAATTGTCATATTCTTACCATGTATGCTGATTAAAAATGTTAATTATTATTGTGATTATTTTATAGTATTTTTTTTAATTCTACACCTAATTATTGCTCTCAGAGAAATAAGAAGATTTTGCTTGGTATATTGTTGTCCGGTGTTATGTGATGGCACTAGGTTTTTCTTTTTTTGGTCTTTAATTATCATAAAATATATAAAATATTAATTAAAAATAATTAATTATAATTAATTAAAAATAATTAATTATATTAAATTTATATTTTTAAATAAAATACTGTGTTTAATAATTTCAAACAAAACTTAAATTTGATCAAAGTGTGTTTAGCTAGAGGGTTATGGAAAAGAAAAAAATAGTTCACTTTAAAAATGTGAAAAAGAGAATTAATTTAGAACAAAATTTTGATATAAATGTATAAGACAGTTATTATAAGACTAATGGAGTAGTAGAGATGATATTAATTTCTAAGTTTCAAACCCTTCATTTTTCTTTTAAAAAAAATAAATCATCATCTTTCAATCTTGATAGCTTAAACTTGACCACAAAAAAAAAAAGAAAAAAGAAAAAAAAGACTTATATAGTCTTCTCTCAATTCAGCCTCAAAGATTTCCATACTCCAATATATATTTCCAAATTCACAATACTTGCTAAGGGAGAAGCATCAGCATTTACCAAAACATAGGATATACCTTCAAACTACTACGTCAATGTCCCATGTGCCAAACAAACACAAACTAAACGTTCTCAATAGTAATCAAAGAGAAAACTTAGTTTGGGATCCTGTAATTCCGTAAAATTCTTCTTCCTTTGTGCCTTTATATATCACCTTCATCCCACACCGTTATGTCCTCACATGACCCATATGCCCAACTACATACTACGTAGTAGAACACATTAATAAAACACAATAAGGAAATAAGCCAATAATAGTAATCACACCGACCCTTGTTGAAGTTGTTTGAAACCCAACTATTTCTCCCATCTTTCTTAGTCGCATCATCCACAATTGCTACTATAATTAGGCTCCCCACTACAATTCCCACAGCCATCCCTAGTGTCAACAGAGCAACTCCTGTTGGGAATTTATGAGAAAAGGAAGGGACTTGGAGGAGAAGGAGGACACCCGGGAGTTCCCTCTTTGTTGAGGTCAAAACTCATTTTTTTCATTTATTGTTGTGCTATTATATAGCAGAAAATTCAGTACATAAACAATACCTAATACTTATCCATTAAGAGAAAAATCTACAAAACATTTAACGCAAGATTACATTAAAAGTCTTGCTTCCATTTGTGTGGCTCCATGTGGTTGTTCTTGCTGCTACTTTGCAGCCTTCCATTTGCATTACATTTCAA